CATAACTCCTCACAAAGACCTAATTTCCTACACCTACTGAGCTGCATTCTGCATTCTGACCTTCTGCATTCCTCACAGCTGCAAAATCCATGGAATAACACAGCCCTGAAAACACCGATTTAAAAAAGGTAATGTAAAGCTCTGGCATATGACAATTCTAAAAGGTGGGACTAGAGATACTTCAGTCATGAAGCAGAGAGATGAAAGGGTTTCATGAAAGAGTTTATGAAAATTTCAACCCTAAGCCAAAACAAACCAACCCAAAACATCTGGATTTCAGCACTTGGGACCTTCCTTCTTAAGAAACAGGTAAGTAATGGATCCTACCAATACTCAGAAATAAAGGGAAGAAGAGAACATTATCATGGTAAAGTACATAGAAGTCAGATCAGCACTGTGATCTGCTGAGCAAATTAAGGTTGGCATTTTCTCAGCAGTGACAAGGCTGTACTCATTTGATGGATACAGCTGTGGAAGGAATGGGGCTACTGTCATCCTCAGCAAGTGAAAACGAAGAGAGAACCGAAGCCATCTGATGCTGCCTTTCCATTCTCACCTGAACTATCTTTTTCTTTTTTTACTCTCTCCTCCCACAGCATCTCCAGCCAACAATACTTCTAAGCAGATCACGTCTCATACTTTATCAATTTATACCATACAAAGAGCCGAGAACTACCTTCCCTCAGAGTGCTGGAAAACTAACCTGACAAAGCAGTGTATTTTGAAACCCAGGTTTAGAAAAAGGGCTGGTTTCTGGGTCAATGAGCATTGAAAATGCAAATTGAGATCACAATGTGGCATGAGAACCCCAGACTCCAGCATGGGCTCAGTGTGCCTTCAGAAAAAAGTAATTTTAGAGACATCTAGTGCATCAGTTTTTCCCCAGGACTTTTATTCTTTGTGCGAAGGCAATATGTGATGACATTTCACAAATGTCTGGACAGCAATCACTCTAAGAAATGAACTCAAAAGCACGCGGGATAAGATGCATTTCAAACTAAATACACAGTGAAAAAGTTTTCTGCAGAATTTACTATTAGTTAATTTAATGGAATTTTAAATAAAAATATCTTTCAACATGAAAATATGAAAAGTTCATTTATTTCCATAGGTAACCTAATTCAGAGTACAAAGTGATGTGAATTTCTCAAAACTGTCACTGTACCTTTTACATATTTTTAAAGTAACTGATCTAAAAGTTGATACAAGAATAAATTTGCTTTTGAAGAGCTGTCCAATAAACCAGATATATATTAATGCCATGCTATGACAGTTCTATTTATGAATCACAGCTGACACTACAGCAACATCACTTTATAATGTCATGAGAATTGTAATATTTTACAATCAAAACATTAAACTGCCACTAATACAGAGACTGTACAATTAGACAAATAAACAAATATTAAATATTTTGCACATGGCCTGAGTTCACTATAACATATTTTGATTTACAACTTCATCTCAGAAATCTGTACAGCAGTTAGAACTCTTTCAAAGAACTTACAGACAATACAACTTCAGAGCTTATTTGTCCTGTTGATACAAGTGTGAGGCCTGGAAGGCAAGAGGACTTGGTGTATGAATCCAAGGTTTTACTGCTTTGTGTAACTTCCTTGCAAAGCAGTCATAACCTAATGGAAAGTAAGGTACAAGGCAGGACCCCACTTGAAAATAAGCTAACTCATCTGAAAATTCTCCAGATAGGTTTCCTCACAGCCATTTCAGAGTAAAAGTTCACAATGAGTATATAAAATGCAGCATATCTCTTAACAAAGAACAAAAAAGGCGTCACATATACAACAGGGTACTTCTTCTGTATTCTCCCTCCCCATATTTATTTCATTGGAAATGGCACAGATCAGCATCCCCACTCGTGGCCAATAGAAAGAAAAGTCCTAATCATTAACAAAGGTCACTCTAAAGTCCAAAAACTTCATTGCAATGCAAGATCCAGTGTTCATAAAACAATGTTTTAAAAACTTTCTTTTTATGCTCAAGTCACATAGACATAGGCAGATTAAGCACATACATTTATAATAGATAACACAAGAATCATGTAATTCTTAACCTGTATGGAAGCTTGATGGAATTTGATTAAAATCTAACTTCTCATTTAATTTTTGGTTTTTTTGGTGCAATTGAACTGAAAAATCTAAAATCATGTAGTCTATACACACACTTATCTATCTACAGACACAGATAACATTACAACAGGGGCTATAATACAAAAGCTAACATAAGTTTTCCTTACTTTAAAAGGCCATCAGGGTATTTATTAAGGTTCCACATAAATGTGAAACAGTTGTTGCTAAAAAGACAAAACTTAACAGAAAAGTTTTAAAGAATAAGGCTTAAAATGTTGTGTACCTACACACCCAAAAATCCAGCCTTCTACTTGGGGTACTCAGCACCTGTGTAAGGCTACAACTTCCCCACAACACTTCTTACTTAGAGAGAGGAGATCACAGTATCTTCAGTAAAACAAACTAGGGCATTCTACCCATGTTCCCACTAAAAAAATTTCTCTCCACATCTCCCAAATAATTGGTGGACTCCTTTACCTTTCAAAAGACTCCTCTGGTATTGCTGTCTTCCTGCACGAGCAGGTTCCATGAGCTGCTCTGTGCCTTATTCACACCATTGGCGTGATGAAAAGAAACAGAAAATCTGCTCCCTCCTCCATCCTTGAAATGACACCTGTGCTGTTTCTCTCCTCCTGAAAGAGTCAGAACCAGGGGCTTCTAAGCTAATCTGTAACTCAGTGGTTTTAATGTTCCTCTCCACCAGCCCAAGCAGAGAAGGTTTTTTGAGCCTCTTTAATACAATCTTTCCCTCTAGCAGGATTAGTTTGTTTTCCAAGGCTGAGTTTTCAGAGGATATTTCAGAGACTCTCATACTTAAAACCAAATGGAACCACCAGTTCTAATACGACAAACACTTCTGTCTTGGTACAGTCACATTCATTCAGCATAAACCAGAGCAGCCAAAGCACAACTAATGCACATATGTAAGATGGGCAGTTGTTTTCACTTCTTTTCTCCTTTTGTGGTGAATACAATACAGATAAATCAATTAAAGATTGATTTAAAGGGCTGGGCACTTCAGCCCAGACTCTGCTCTAATTTCCACAGTAGAATAAAGGTATGCTCATAACCTGCTGGGCTTTCACATTTTTTCCTTTAAATTAGGTTGACTAAAAAGGGCAGAAACTTAGTGTACTTTACAGTCTTGTTCAAGACATTGTAAAAAAGAATTTATATTTTATCAGGTTATTATTTCAGTAATTTGTAATTCAGCACTTGTAATCTCTTAATCAGATACCTATTTCAAACCTCTGTTCTCCATTTTATTTTTACCTTAGGGCTAGGCAGACCCTCTGCTTCAGGCCAAGCCAGATGTAACACTGCTTCCCGTTCAAGTCCAGACACAGAAGGCTCCTGGAATATCCACATTCTTTCCCAAACATCTTGGATGTGAAGTACAACTGCTGCTCTCAAACAATGGTATTCCCTCTGGCCACAATATGAGTCTTCCAGCCTCTTGCAGGGCTTCAGGACAATCACTTGCAAGTGGATCAACTGGACAAGGCTTCCTAAAATCTAATGTAGCAGGAGCTACGTGGCACATGGCCATGGTGACTTACCTCTTTTAAGTCCTCTTTCCTCTAAGAAGAAATAATTAGAGAACCTCACACACACAGTTTCCTGACACATTGAGCAGGAACCATGTACATGGGAGAGGGATTTGACTCTCTCATTTTAACTAGTTATCCTTTATTTTTAATTTTTAAGTAACTGGAAAATTTCATTATGACTTTCATAAAGCACCCTTTTCAGTTTTCTTTATTGTTGTTATTCTGTTTTGCTCATTCTGAAGATTGCAGCAAACAAGAAATCAAAATTATGTTTCAAATATAAATGGAAAAAAATCCTATTTCTTGAGACAGATAAAAACCTTATTCCATCATACTACCAGTTCATACAAGAGCCTCTTTTAATTTGAACTTGTAGGATTTTTTTTTACTTTGTTCTTACAAAATAGATTATGTTCTTGTGTAGCCCATGCCAAAAGCACAAACCCTAAGCCCACAGTTTAGGAGGTCTAGTATATGAAATCTTACCAATATTTTCAGTTATTATCCCCTCCAATAAGTTAAATTAAAATCCAGTTCTGAAAAGCCCTCAGTCCAGAGAGATCAGTGACTGAAACCCTAGATCAGGAGACTGATATTTAAGATTGCCTCTGCCATAGATATATTAATCTAATACATTGTAGAGTCCTATGAGATGTTGCTTTTAATATAAACTTATTTTCCAAATAATTTAGAGGAATACAGATTCAAGTAATTCTTCAAAGGTCTGCTTTAAGTTATCCTAACAAAACACAGCTTTCAAGAGTTGACATAAAAGAAGACATTAGTGTAACAGAGTATAGAGAGTAACAGCAAACTTAAATAGTTTAACAGTTCTAGTATTGTACTTAAATTTACACAGATCTCCTAATATAACCTACAATGTTTACCATGAATATTAACAGCACATAAGCATTACAGTGTGTTAGGGATTGTTTTCTAGACCACAATTCCATTGGTCCCAGGTGTTGTAAAATAATAGGACTAAGGCAGCAGCTGTAATACATAAATTGATACTTTAAGAAATATGCTTAAATGCTATTACTGCTTGGAACTGTGGAAATATAATAAAATACAAGTCACATTTACAGCATAAGGCCCTTTGGTTTCTTAAGCAGCAAATGAATGAACAGGTTCTTCAGTGAAAGGCTTTGAAAAATAAAGCAGGTAGGCTTTCCATAAAAGAGGTAACTAGTTCTTTCCTTCTCAAAATAGCCATCTGCAGTCTTCAAAATATTATCTAAGAAAGCTCTTGAAATTCTTAGGAAAGAAAAAGTTAAACCCCAACAGTAGTGTCTGACAGAGCAGAGATTCCATCATGGGCAAGCTGAACATACACCTTCTGGGAAGTAGAAGAAACTACTAATTGGATTTCTGGAGAGCTTTATTGACTTTAGAGCAATACAATAAAAAGGATCTCAAATACCTGTGTATTTACCATATATTCTAGAGATTACAAATCCATATTTGAGAACTCACTTCATGTCAATCTATCCTTCATAACGACTTGAGTTAAAACAAAATTAAATAGTTCATTTTAGTCATGGCAATTTACGGTAGTCTCCTTTTTCACACAACCATGTTAACTTGTATAAGGCAATCCTTTTCCATCTTCTCAATTGAGCCAAAAATTATGGATTAATTCAAGATATTTCTGTGTAACTATATAATGTGTGTTTAGTTACACAGAACTGTTTAGTTACACAGTTGTGGCAGTCAACACGCGAATTTTACAGAGAACATTCATTTTGTGAGGTTTCATATCTACCACCATTCTTTTTTACACATCAGTTATAAGTGGTATCAAATAAGCCAAAACACTGAAATATATAATAAATGTGATGAAGTCACCATCTGTATTTTAAAATCCTGTTTAAGTGGTATGTTGCTTTTGCTATGGGGCTTGTAACAAAGATCTGGCATTATAAAAGAGATTGTAAACAAGCATGACCTTTGAAGCAGTGTTCTTACTCTGTCCCAAACTTGTACAAAATTTTAAAACAACTTCTTATGCCTGATGAATCTTGTAGTTTACTACCTATTAATTATAATTATATAGATAGAAAAGAAAGTCAAAATATGCTCTCTTAGCCTCTTTCACAGTTATTGGTTAGAGTTCTTTCTATATAACGTGGCTATTGAAATTTTTGGGCCAGCATAAGAATTTCCTTTCTTCAAACCGTCATATGGCAAAAATGACAGTTTGTGCTAAATTGAGGCAACATGAATTAATTGTGGAGGGTTGCAATCATTAGAATCATTATACCCTAAGCATTTTTGGTGAACCTAAGAAACAAAATTTTGTACGAAATTTCATAGGAGTTGATTGAGTACACCTCTGATTAATTCTGATATGCTTCTTTTTCAGTTGTATATATGCATCCTACATTCATCGTTCTCATTTTCAGTAAAGAGACAGGAAATCTTTAGCATGTAAGATGACTTTGCACTTACGTAATTCCACTGCAGTACCAGGTGAATACAACATCAGCCTTTTTTCCAGTGCAAAAGTCTTTACTTTGCTGGGCTGAAAGTTTCCCCAAATCGTGCTTTTACTAATCAAAAAAAGATGTTAATCAGCTTACCCATGATCCAAATTTCATCAGTCTTTGAAAGAAGAAAACAAAACATTTTACCCAAAAAGATCTTTTAAGTCATTACTAGCTGAGCTGCTGTTTGTCATTGTGTTTGCTGGCTGTGCAAAGTTCTGAGGAGAAAAGAAAGGATTACCCTGTATACCAAAGCCAGGCTGTCCCATCATGTTCATCTGAGGTCCCAAGACTGAACTGCTTGCATTCGGGGACCCTGGTGGTGGTACAAACTGATTAACCCACTGGTTTGATTTCTGTTGAGCCAACTGTTTCATGCTAACTTTGGGTTTCTGAGGACCAAAAAGATTATCTAGAGCAGACATATCTGGAGGTCTGTTTTGTTGTGTCAACGGAGAGACTGCAGATGCAGCATTCATAGGACTGTAATTTGGCATACTGGCAGTTGGTACAATGTTCATCTTGGTTGCTCCTGTTGCACTTGGACCACTGAAGAAATTTTGAGTGGCGAGACCTGCTCCCATACTGAATCCAGCAGTCTGAAAACCCATATTTGTATTTAGCCCATTTGTCATATTTCGCTTTGTGTTGTCAACAGGTGACGAAAATCCTATTCCAACACCCATAGAAGGAACAGAAGAGAAGCTGTTTGCAGATGCAACTTGAACTTTGTTGATAGGATGGCTAGTCAAAGATGACATATTATCTATCAAGGTATCTGTCAAGTCTTTTGTCTGCAAAATACATTAAATGCAGTTAAATGGTCTTCCTGTACAAACACTCTTGCAACACTTTTAGGATTGCTCCTGTAGAACTGGCATTACTTTTTCAGAAATTAGAATTTACTGCATGGAATTGGGCAGAAAATTTAATTATACACATGAGAAATTAGGTTTTGTTCTTTGATACTTAGAACTAATTGTTATGCAGCTTTAATTTGACAACTAAGACTACACAGTTTAGTATGTCCTTTTTCCTCATCTAGAACAGTGGTCTTCTGATAATAATGATACCCTTGGAAACTCTTGGAATACTGCTAATGAAGCAAATGCCAGGCACACAAAAATTTAATTTAGTTTTTCTCAGCTGTGCCATTGTACTACCAGAGAAAACAAAAGTGACTCAGAGAAGGAAAAAATGCTAAAAGCATTAGAGATCCAATAGAAGCAGTGCAGTAGTTCGTTCTTTCTCACCTGCTTCACTGGAGGTGTTATTGCAGTTGCTTGTGGCTTAAGAGGTTGCTGGCTTTTCAGTTTCTGTGCCTGTTCTTGTTCTTTAGCTAACTTTTGCTTCTCTTCCAGTGTAAGTGATGCCTTTAAAAGGAAAGCAACTGATACTAAGTTGCAAAAAAACCCGGTGATTTGTACATTCATATTTGTATTTCATAAATAGCACTGTCACTTCAATACATGGTAGAAAAATATAATTATTTAGAAGCACAAAAGACACAAAAGAGAAAGTGAATAAGCACAAAATCTATTACAACATTTACTACATTGCTAACACGTACTTAAAGCAAATAAACACAAGAAATTCGGGCAGTCTCAAATAAAGGAGATATATCAACAAAACCACATGAGCTTTGTCTTCTTAATAGTGGGCATAAGAAAAGTGTTCTTCATAGTTTTTATTTTCATATGGTTACTAACTTGATATAGAGCTGCAATTGACCATGAAGTTGGAAAGGGAATTTTATTTTTAGATTACTCAAGAGCCTTTTCAGTATTTTAACTCTATTTTTGTTAATAATGAAGGATAAAATAATAAAATCATTCCCCCTTAGTCAAAAATCAGTGAGAGGATTCGGATAACTAGAAATGAAAATTATAAAATATACAGATTCTGGGGAGCCATTTTCATAATTATTACTATGAAAAGAATTATACAATAGTTTATGCTTATGTTTACTACTCTATCTCATGTCCTGTTTTTCTCTGCATCTTGTATTTAACCCCATACTACCTCTTTAGTTTCACTTAACTTGAAACTGTACAGTGAATGTTAATCTCTGCTACTATCTGAAATTCTATATTTTATCTTCGTTTCTCTTTGTAATTTTATCAGAAATGCCCCCAGTTTGATTTTACTACCTAAATCCAGTGCTGAAGTTTCACTGAAATCTATAATTAAGGAGAAAGAAAATTACCACAAATTTATAATCCTAACTGCTGCCTATTTCATATGCAGCTATTTTCAAGGAAAGGCTTCTGTGGAAATTCAAGGATATGATTTGAACATTTTTCAGTGACTATGCACATGTGACTATGTGTAGTGTTGTGCTGTAAAAAGTGGTTAGTTTTTCTATTAAAGCTTTAAAAAAGGTAAATATTTACACACACTCTTTTTCTGCAACCATATCAGCCTTATATTAGACAGCTGGACACAACTGAGTTGCAAAACAAAGCAAAGCCCACCTTCTTCTGTATTGATGACATCTCATTTTCTTTACTATCAGATCCACTAGTTAGAAGGTCAGTTCCACTACTATTAAATACCTTGTCGATCTGTTTAAGTTCAAAGAAACAAAACTTCATTATTTGAAATGTTGCAAAGAAAGGTAACAGAAATATCAACTAAGTAATTTTAAATTTCAAATTTCTATGTGTAAGTTACATAATAAAATATTGGTGCTTACCTGATTGTTTGTACCACTAGATCTTGCCTCTTCAGACACACTCATTTGGTTAGCTATATCCAAAGATCTACATAGTGCAGAATATATTACACAAAGATAACTGTGTAGCCACACACTAATACCAAAAAATTTCATTATGAGACCATTGTCATTTTTATATATAGCCTTTAAGAGACTGGGAAATGTTACTATGATAAACAGTAAAGGTCTCCTAACCATTTCACGTGGTCTTAGTTCCTCCTTTTGAACAGAATGACCCAGACTTGAGATAGTCCAAGTCCAAGTCCAATTTGTCTCAGAAATCTCACCTCGTATCAGACTGCATAAAACAGCTCTAAAAATCTTAAAACATCACAGCCTTCTAAAAGGTTGCAATGTTTATGTTTCTCCAGTACGGTTTATTTCTCAGCAACTAGAGGAAAGCAAGTTAGCATATAGAAGCAAGGCATAAAACAGTACTAGTAGAGCTCAATATGAACTTTCACATTTAATGAATTAAAAATCATTGACTTAAAATAATAAACTGCAACTGAACTGTATAAAGGGATTTTTTTCTATAAATCCACTAATATCACAATATTATCATAATTTTAGGACTAGTAAACCTTCTGACAACTGTGCTTATTTGAGGTAATTCTCAACTGAACTAAGAATTGACTAATCTTTTTATTGCTATGGCTAGAATTTTCTAACATTCCAAAAAAAATTGACTTCTTCTCTAATGTAAACATGAATACTTACTTCTGTTGCTCTTGCATGACATGAAGTTGCTCAAGTTTTGTTTTATGTTCTGCCTCCAATCTGTTAAGCATATCTTTTATAACACAAATAAAAGAATTGAACTGGAAAAGAAATATATAATAAGTTTGGATTTTGGAGAGATGGAATTCAGCCAGGTATAACTTGACAGGTAATACCTCATAAAACCTACAATATATAATGTCAGAAACTGCAGATTTTTAAATAATTTATCACCTTCACTATCATGCATTAGATACAAAACTACAAGCAGAGTGCATACTGGAACAGGGAAAAATGTATTCCACTAAATAAATAAAAAAAGTAACAATGCAGACAAACCCCCTCACATATGAGTACTACCAGATTAATTTTCAAACAAACAAACAAGCCTACTAGGTATTCCCTTTCCAAATATTTCATAGCAACAAAGTATTTAATTTGAATTCTTATTATGTTAGTAGCTAACTGCTTTTGCAGGATATTTGGAAGGTGATAGTATTAATTTTGAATTTTATACCAGATCACTTAAATATACAGAAAAATGACACACTTTAAACATGCAAATGCAGTAAAACTTGAAAGGGTTTTGGTACTATTTGCTTTCATAACAGATACAGACATCCAGTAATGTATGAATTTCTCATGACAACAGTTTAAATTTATTCTTTGATAATTATGAAGTAGAAGCATGCAAAACACTCATGTTCCTACCTGATTGAGATTAAGATTGTTCTCGATACTAAGAGGAATCAGATGGGGCAATACTCTTCCTGCAAGCTGCTCTTTGGTAATTCCCAACTTCTTGTGAGTGAAAGTACATTTGTAAATACCTACCATACAACAGCAAAATAGCAAAAATTGTTAAGCTTAGTAAGCAATGTGAACAAACTCCAAGTAACGCGCTCATATATGTACTGATCACCTCAACAATCACTCTGTGCAAGCAGGGACAAACATGACCAAGAGACTAAGTACTCTTTTACAACAGGAACTTATAACAGCAAGAGGTTTTGCTACAGTTCAGAACAAGAGGATGCCCAAGGTCATACTTTGCAGTTATGAAACCTGTTATTAGTCAATGTATTGTTCTGTCCAATTATCTGAGAATATCCATCTTTGAATAGATCATGTGCAAATGAGTTACCACAAAGTGACAAATTGCCACTGAGAAATCAAGCTGTGTTAACTAAGGATATGTTCTCTCCTGGCATACCAAAGTGGCTAGGATTAACTATCACACTGCTCTCTGATAGTATTTTACAAATATTGTTACCTAGAAGTATCTGACTGTGGTACACTTGGGATCAGAAATCATGCGTAATCTTTATCTATTCTAAAATCTCTGAAAAAAAGAATACCAACAGGCATGAGGGCACAGTGTTAAGCCCACAAGTTCTATAGTGTTTCTGCTTAAATAGTCCAGCTCTTGTGGCAAACACTGAACATATTAGCATAAAAGACACAGCAGCTTTCTTCACTTTCTATGGTAGTAGAACAGAGCAGTCACCAAGACAAAGAAGGTATGAATGACATATAAGAAAGATGGTATTATGATTCTGGAGAAAAGGACTGCTAGGGTATATAAAATTGATTTTAGCCCATCATTTCCAAACAAGGGTTCACTTATTCACTGTATCAGAGTAGAATTCAGCAGTAACATAACTTAAGTAAAAAACCCAGTGCCCCTCTTCTTAGAGAGGAAATATAAGTCAAAGTTGCAAGGATTAAGGGAGACAGGCAGTTCTAAATCAGTACAAATAGATGCCGTCTTACTGATTTTGAGCAAATCAAAATAATGTTGCTATTACATATTATTACGGTGTTTAATGAAGGCTGTTGTTGACATAGTTCAACTGTTACAAATGGTCTTACTGACAACACCTTGTTGTCAGTAAGAGAAATGGTCACTGTCCTCCAGACTTGGCATGAGGCTGCCTCTCTTTCTTGGCTGTCTCTCTGGTCATCTGGTCTCCTTGAGTGCACTGAAATTGTTAAAATCACCCATCCTGAGCTAGGCAGGCACCAAGTGACACTAGGAAAGCACAGCTGGGAGTGAGGTCTCAACAAGCCATTAGGTTTTGTTGGTCATTTTGTGAGACTTCACCCAACTCATGTTCCATTTCATTGCAAAACGCAGCACTACTTGTTTAAACATCCAACAAAATGAGTCTAACGAAACCTGCAGTAAAGAACAGTAGATTTGTAGACAATCATTTATAGCATCTGACCTGAAAGACTATCTGAAAGACGACAGATCACACATTCTTCTGAGGAAAACAGCTTCTCTGGCTCTATAGAGCGTACAGACCATAAAAGTGTCACAGCCCAAGACCTGCAATGAGTGCTCAGAACTGCACTGGGCCCTGAAGACTAAAAATATGTGTACTAGTGTCAGATGTACCTGCAGCACATAAGGTAACTGAGCAGGGACATACTTAAGAACCAGAAACAGGAAGTTTTAAATAGTCATTTTAGCAATACACTATGTAAACGTGATCAATGAAGAGGAAGCTCTCAGATTTACAACATGAAAGAACAAAAGAAAATAAGGTAGGAAGTATTAATTACCTAAAATTCCCATAAGCACTGCAGGTTCCTTTGACGGAATTTGTTGTAGAAAAGGTAAAATATCATCAAGTACAAACCATTTATCCAAGTACTCCAAAATTTTGCCTAAGCACACTAGTGAGTTTACCCGGACCTGTGAAGTATGATGAGAATTAAACAAACTCTTTATTATACTTTTGTCCAAGAAAAAAGAACAACCTCACAAAACTCAGAAGAAAACAGGTGCTACTGAAACTACCACCTTTATATCTGAAAATTCAAGACAAGTTTAAAAAAATCCTTTTGTGTCACAAAAGTAAAACACATATAGTTACACAATGCTCACAAAACCTTGGCTTTTCTGCATGACAAACACTGTCAATGTATATTACTGTGGAACACACTTCCAAAAATTTTACAGTATTATTAACACAATAAGTCGTTAATAACTTTAAAAATTGTTAGAGTAAAGAAGTAAATGGCACTTTTGCACTGGTAAAAAGTAGTTTACAAAATTTAAAAAGAGAAATCAGAGCACACAGATTGGATTTTCTTTAAAGACACAACAGCAGAAAAGCCAAAGTAATTAAATGTAACAACATTTTCTGAGGACTAAGAGATAAAATTACCAGGATACTCACAGCAAGAGAAGAAGTCTGCAAACATGCATTTTTAATTCTTGGAATTAATGAATTTTTCATTGATGGGTAATCTATTAAATTGGCAAACGTGGGAATTATGTTTAGGCAAAGCTCCTACAAAAAAAATTCCATACAAGTTTAAAAAGAAACATGTACATTTATTATAAAATTTTACTCAATATCCAAGTTAGTTTGAAATGCCTTCTTAAGCTTTCCTTTTAAGGACATATGTTCAACTAAGCTGACTTTAATCTATCAGACTCACTTCAAAATAGCTAGAATAATAAAGCATCATGGTATGTATACAGAACCTTGGAAACGGGCTTTAGAAAAGAGAGGATTCATAGAGCCATAATAAAGTATTTGGATAGCAAAAATATCTTACATTTTCAAAAACATCTTTATATAAAAACCAGCTTTTATTACATCAAGCTAACATAAAGCAAGCAAATTTGAATGAGTACTATCAACAGCAGTACAATGATAGGCTGAAAGATAAAAGAGCATGTCAAGATTAAACATACTTCAGCAACAGAGAAAAAATAAACACACAATTTCAGCCCAAACTAAACCACAAGAGACAGTAACATTAAGTATGCTGCAAGTAAATACCTGAATAACTAAACTACTGATGCAGAAAAAACTCATGCCAGGTATTTAGAAACAAAAAACCTTTCTCCATAATATTGCAAAGGCAGAAGTCACATCTGATTATCCAAATCCTTCTTTAGGAAATATTTTGTTTCTTTATCCCCTCCTCCCACCCCTGGATGTTTTTGGGTAACTGGAAGCCAATTCCAGTAGAATGATTACAAAAACCCCAACAAACAGATGAACTTTAGAAAGACAGAGAAAGAATAAAGAGAAAAATCAAAATACATATACATAAAAATGTCACCAGAAGGTATATTAATATGATTTTACAGCAATTCAGGTCTTCCAAGGTAACTAACTGTCAGTACAGATGTTCTTACTAGAAGGACCTCAGAATAAGCCACCTGTCACTGACAGGTAAGAGCATGCCTGCCTGCATAGTTTCTGCTACACAGGCAATGGAGCATAAATGCATATCCTACTTTTTGCTGTTGTGGCTAGTGAGATTTTAAGATAGGAGCATTAGAACACCAGTCAAGTGGTTGCCCCCTGGAAAATAAGGGAACTAAATTTACCTTTATTAAAACCAAATTTTCTTTATTAAAACACTCATCTCTTTCAACGTACAGGAATATTACACAGCTTTATCTTTTATATTTTTTTTCCCAAGTAAACAAACATATGAGTTTATTAAAAAATTGGCACATCAGCTGGAAGAGAAAAAAATGTTTTAAATAAATGTTTAAATAAAAATATGCAATTACTATACCTGGATCTGAATTGAAGGTGCTTCCAAGGCTCTATAAACCATTGGTAGAACGCTGTTCTTTATTTCATCTGCTGGAGTTTTGGTTAGAAGTAAGTCCATTTTTTGCAGGAAGATTAACAAAATCTATTAAAAGAAGGACAATTCAGAAGCTGAAAGTTTTAACTCCAAAAGCATATGCTTACAACTTAAAGTGTATTGTATCATATCATAAAAACTTCACAAGCTTTCTTAGAACTCAGTAAATGTCATCACTTACCATGTTGCTTGCCTGAAGGCATGGAAGACAAAAAACACTTTGACATATTATTGCATTTTAAAAAGAGCAAACACAAATCAAACAAAATATGCATGTTCTAGACTAACCCCTCTAAAATAACAAATCCAAATAGCTAAGTAAGGAGTTCTTGTTTCTATTTACACTGTGGTTTTTTGTAAAAACTCACCCACAGATAAATCTTTATACACACATCACTTATGAAAAACTAAACTTTCAAAAACCTATGGCTCAAATTCTGTCCTCAAAGCACTTGATCACAACTCCACACATAAAAGCTGTATTCCATGTGCCTAGAATAAATAGGGATGTAATGAAAACAATATTACAGCTACTAGATGGCCACAAAATGCCTTTATTCTATTTCACATGGAAATTGTACATCATAAAATAAAAAAAAAAGTCAAAAAAATCTCACATCACATTAACCTAAAAGATAACACTAGAATAGCACATTTACATAGTGCGATTCACCTTTCTCAGGCTTAGCCATTTAAAAATTACCCACTATTTTAAATCACTCATCCAGGCTCAGTCTCAAATACTCAAATAGAGAGTCTTTCTAATATATAAGATTCAGACAGGCAAGACAACTTGCTAAAGGTGACACTGAGTATCCATTGATATCCAGACTCATTTTAGAAAACAGGTTAGACTAGACGGACAAAGTGTGTTGAATGGAAACAATGCCAAGTATTTTATAGGAGGAAATTAGACTTAAAATTTAAGTCTAAAAATACATAGCTATCAGTGCCTGTATGTCAAATAAACAGAAGCATCAAAGTGTAGAAACAGAAGTACATCAAGACCACATTACAAATTTCCCCTAATTATTTCCCTTCTTTTACAGGGTGTTGTGGGTTTGCTCTGGGCTAATTTCTCTCACCCCCCACACAACTGATATAAGTTGAGAGAAGGTTTATGCAGACAAAAGAGATCTGATTTGGGGAGAATAATATTAGGATTTATTACTAGCAAGATAAAAACTAAAGAACTATATATATACAACAATTCTACCTAGGTAAAAGAAATACCCCTCCCCCCTTGTATCAGTTTAGGAGGAAAAGCAGTCTCTTCCATTTCTGGAGCTACAGGTCTTTTAAATAATTTTGCAGGACTCAAAAGTTCTTCTTCTATTATCTCTAGGACAACAACTCTGATTCACTGCAGCTGGAACTGTTTCTCTCTCTCTTCTATGTCGACCTCAGGGCTGGGCCTACCCACTCCCAGGCTAAGACCAGAGGCTGGGTGGTTACCGAGGCCCTGTAGCGTCTTCCATGGACTGCAAGGAGACACTTGCCTACCATGGATCTTCACCATAGGATCACAAGGGATAATGACTTCTGAGTCCATCCCTGTTTTCTGTGGGGTCTTGCCTCACGAGAGACAGTCTTTGATGGACATCTCTAAGGTGAGTCTACCTTTCGGGCAACAGTTCTTCCATTCTCTGCTGCCCCTCAGGGTCACAAACTCAGCTGCACCAGAATGGATCCTTCCCTGGGATCACCAGATTCTACCCAAGCCGACTTGCTTCAGTGTAGGTCTCTCTCTCTACGGGCCACAGGTCTCCAGCAGAACTCTCTTTATCTAGGCCTCCCATGGAGTCACATCTATTTCATACATTCTGCTTCGGCGTGGGCTCCTTCATGAGCTGCAGAGGGGGGTTTTCGCTCCCCAGCAATCTTCTACAGATGGCAGGGATTTTTAGTTTTCAGTCTCTTCCCTGCTGAAGGGAGAGAGAGCAAGAGGGGGAGAGAAGCAGTTTCCCCACTTTCACAGCTTTTCTCTTCTCTAGTTGCCAGCTTTGACCTTGGAGGCTCTGTTATCTCTCTTTCTGCCTGGAATTCCTTCTGCAGCATGTCTTGTCCAGGCAGTCCTTCTCTAAAGTTTGGTTTTGGTTTTTTTTCTACTCTCTTACAGGAGAGAAGGAGGGCTTCAGTGCCACACCTGCCCCCGGCCCAATGCTGGGGAAAGGAGGGAGGCCCTGGCCCACCTGGGGCCTGCCGCCTTCCAGGGATGGAAGTATCAGACCTCGACACAGGGAAGAAAAATAGATTTTTATACCGCAGTTAATATATGTTTTCTCATTGTATATTTATTATTTCCTAAGCTGCACATATACACAAAATCATTTATTCATTCCAAGAAAATTGCTCCTGATACGATAACCCCATATTTGTGATGAAAAGGGTAAGATGGACAAGATCAATTTTAAAGTAAGATTTTATAATTTTCTTCAATATAGAATTTTTGTTTGTCCTAAACTTGGTTTTTTGAAACCTTCATGGGCTCACAACATCTGTTCATCTCTAACAACTCCATAATACTGTGGAATTACAGTTTCTATGTTAGTTACATATATGGCTTTGGAGAAATACCATTTGATTGCTTTTGCAAATTTGAAAAGAATGTAAATGAAACCTCTTATTTAACAACTAGTAAATCTCCTCTAAAATAAGAACCAAGTACTATACAGTAATTTAGACTTCACAGAAGCAGTTCAGCTCTTTCCCACTGCCTGCCAATGTTTTTCATCTAAGATAAAGCTGAATTATTTCTCTATCTCTCTACTTGTGTTTAACTAGAATGCAGTTCATGTTCCAAAGAACACCTTTTATTTTTAGCTTCTAGGGTCATATTCATTACTTTTTATCTATTTAGGTAGAAACTAAGATGCTACAGTCACAGATTCATATACACCATCTAATAAGCAAGTATCAGCAGTTGCACTCTAAACATTAATGTATCTTTTATTAGTGCAGAGCCCAGTATTTCTCAGGGTACACTATGGTGGACTGAATTAGAATATGGATTCACAGCACATCCTATGCTAACTCTCCATAGATTCCTGCAAATATAAATTAAGGGTTTGTCTGGGCAGCTATGCCAGAGTAAGCTGCGATGTTAATTTACAGCACACGTTACTCCACACTAACCCCAAGCGTATGACATAAATGAGCAGTTTAACTAAATACTTCATTTTCATATTATAAATTTCCTCATACAACGACATTGTGAACACTGACTAACAATTTCTTCACACTGAATTACAGTAGTTTCCCTATGATGCGTTTATTTCCTAACCCAAGTATCCTTCAAAAGTCAAGTAACAGGCACCTCACACAAATCTTTATCTCAAGACAGCATTTGGAAGAAACACTGGCACATTCTCTGTCCCTCTCTAGGAGTTACAAACAGACAGAAACTTTTTTGCCTTGCACAAAGATAGTCAGACTTAGAATTCTATCCTCTAGCACTCTGAACCTTTGCATTTCCTTCTCAAATTCCTGGTAAATTAATTTTGAAAACATGACTTAGATTACTTAAAGAAAATTCACCATATTAAAAAGACCACAGGAATAACAGTTGAATAAGCCATGTAGTACTTAGCATTGAAAATACCAGTGTAAGAACTTAACAGATAGTATCTACATAGCTACAGAAAAATTTGGCAAAGCTTGCTCTTTATGAGCTGACCATAAGTTTGTATTTTGCTTCCCTCATTTCTCAAGACATAAACCAACTTTTGTGTCCATTATGCTCCTGATAAAACTTTGCTACAAACTTTTGGCAGTGAGAATCTTTCTCACGAATCTAATGTTAAAGGCAGCGAAACACAGTGTTACCTTCCAGGATGACATAGCACAAATGAGATGTTCACTGACTTCTGGTTGATTAAATGTTTGCTTTTTTCAAGACAACAACAAAGCCAACACAAAGCCTCAGTGTACCAAAAGTAAACAGCACTAAGTAGTTCAAATTTTCCAAGGTATTCTCAGTTACACAGTTGTTCCCTTTCTTCCCCTCCTCAGTATAACGAGAATTCTTTGATCCACTTTTCTGAAACCCAGAAATAAAAAGTCTACTTGTTCCTTTCTATGTTTACCTTGCCCTTTAGGTGCTCTTCCAAGAAATAATGGCATAAAGCAATAAACCAAGGTGAGCTGGAAGGAATGCATACGTGCCTTTGCTCTGTGGAGGCACAATGCCTAACTTAGTGACAGAATTCTCAGGAATCATCATGCAAATGGTGATGATAAAAAGTTGTAAATTTTTTGCTCCGTTACAGTAACAATTGTCTTACTACTTTTATGCATTTAGACTACAGTGAAAAGAACATAATTATCTTCACATATCACATTTAGCAAACAGAATTAAACAAATTTCACAAATTCGTGCACAACCCTGAAATAAACACTCTTATTATCATGAGTAAACAGCAATTCTAAGAGAGTGTTAGAGTTACAATTTTTTCATCCCATGATCCCAATGTCAGCAATTTGGACACAAAGAAAAAAAAAAACCCACAGGTTCAGCTACTCGAAGAATATATGCAAATATCATACTGTACAACTTGCTCAGATAAGCTAGATAAGTGATAAAATGCTTACAAATATACCTTCTACAATCAACCAAAACCAAGAATTAAGTGGTACATGAAATGTTTCCCTTTTTGCTAATCTAATCTCGTTAGCAAATTCATCTGAAAAAGCACAGGCTTTGTGTATTTCCTGGAAAAATCTATTTTGCATGAATCAAGACTGACTGGTTGGAAAACTACAGATAGGTTGGGCAATGTGTGTGAAGCTGGAAAAGGCAAATAGAGCAATTAGTAATTTTTTCAGAGAAAAAAAACACCAAAGAAAAAAATTCTAATCTGAACAATATTAACATACCTGGATTGGTTCTTGCTGCTTAAAAACAGGACCAAGATCAGGCAGAATGAGCCTGACATATTCCTCTTTGGTGCATTCCTCAGCAATAAGGAGAACGTTAGGCAAGACGAAGGGTACCATATCAGGATTCACAAATTCAGAAGTCAAGCAAGGCAAAATTCGCTGAATTATAACACGCTAAAACAACAACAACAAAAAAATACAACAAAAATCAAGCGTGCATCATGCTGTATTGCACTGCAGTAAGTCACCATTGTGCCAGCTCAGCAGTTTCTGTATTAACCTGATATTTACAAAAAGCAGACAGATAATTTTCAGTTTAGAACTCTTATTTTCACAGTATACTGCAGCTAATTTACACTGTGCTACTTTGCTTACTTTTCTCTGCTAGCTCTCAAAATATAACTGGAGACTTAAACAACTGTGAAGCTCAACAAAAAGCAATAAACTGTACAGAAATTAGGACTTTCAGATACATACATGAATTAAGAAAACCTTATTTTCCATGTGTTTTCTTTCAAAAGACCCTTAAAAAAGACCTTAAAAAGACACTATCACCCCCAGAAAATAATCCCTTTTTCTGTTCCCTATCACTCAATGAACAAACACATAATGATACTAAACTTCCCAGTAAAACTCCAGGTACATTCCCTAAATAGGCATTTGCACTGTGGATGTCTACTGTAGAGTCAGACATCTTTAAATGCTTTTCAAGCCAATAAACAGAAATACACAGTTCAAGGGCACAGTCACTTCCCTCATAAAACATACTTGGAAGATAGGAAAAGGAAAAAAAGAAAGCGCTGAAGATGATTAGCTCCATCTATGCCTGTTTAAAGTTCGGTGAAATACATGCCAAATTCAAAACAGCAACTATTTCTGATCAAAGTAGAAAATCACTAAATTAGAAGAGAGTATTAAACATGAAGTCTGATTTTTGCACTGTGTAGTGCAAAACAGAATTAAAAATAAAGAAATTTAATGCAATGGTTGAGAAGCTCAGTTATTCTATTAGGTATTAAACTACTACTATTTTTCTATCACATATGCATTATGGTTTATATAAATTAAGGTAAACCAGAAAAGGAAAAGGAGCCAGTCTAGACATAGTGTCTAACAGCACACAGAAGAAATCCGTAATGACAGGCATTTGCCTTTGAGATTTCTAGGCACTGCCAGCACAAGAAAGCACTTAGTCTATTAAGGAAAGGAAGCTTTAAACTATTCAACATTAAAGTACTGCCTTGCTACAAAAAAAAAAAGCTGAAGTAATCTCACTGGGAGAAAAGGCAGCAAGATGATTTCAAAGACCTATGATTACATCTGGAAACAAAGGGAAAGCCTGCTAAATGGAGAGAAGACAACTTGCCTTTAAACTGAGGTGAACTACAACAGGACATGCAAATGATGGTTCCTCACACATACTGATAGCACAATTTGCCATTTTCCATTTAAAGGATTATTTAAAGCTGAGGAGTATTTCCAAACTAGTTGTTTTCTAGTCTCCCTTTCTTTCCTACAGCTCTATTCTGATAGTCTCACTGCAATCAACTGTGGTACAATGCTAAAGAAATTCCAGTTTCCAAAAATCAGAATGCTAATAGATGTTCACATATTTTCTAACTTGCTATTTCAAGACATCATTCAGACATACCTTAGGTAGTTTTGGCAGAACCTTTGGTAGCCCTTTAAAAAACTGTGATTTCTGCAGGTTATCCCTTTGAAATAATGAATCAAAATATTGAAGTGTCATTGCTCCTACATCATCGAAGAATGGTATCTAAAGAGAAAATCAAAAGTTTGTGATCTGGAGGGAGATAACATTGACACTGCTACAATAATTCCAAAATAGAATCATCTATTTATGTTTGCAATGCACTATAGAAAACCTTTACAATGACATATCTGCAACTAAAAATGAGTACATTTTTAAATATCAAGTAGTATAATATTCACAGATACAGGCTGATTAAGACAGAATTTTCCTGGTATTTTGCAAAAACCCATCCATGTTACGAGCATCTAAGTTAACTTATTGTATATGAAATAATGTTTTGTCTACAGAAAAATGTAATGAAAAGTAAAAACTTTGATTAAAAGGAATAATTATGCTATTTAATATTACAATAAAGGATTACTTATTAGGTCATAGAGATCTGGCTACCACCCCTGAAAACTCCAGGAAACCCTGGATGCTCTAATACAATTCAGTGTGCAGTGTATCTGTGGCAAAAGAGACTTAACATCTTTATAAAACCATATTGCTAAATACAACCATTTACAGATTTGTTTTATTCCTTCAGACAAGAGAGTTGATACTGGAGAAATATTTGCCAACTCCCTCACTTGCCATCTTTCAGCATATATGCTGACAGAACCCATTACCTGCTCCCTCTCTCTTCTTCATTCACTATTTCTTCCAACTGTTAAAACAGTGATTTCTCTCTCTGTATACAATCTTTTTATAGGATAGCAAAAGAATAAAATTGTTTAGCAAAGCAAATCTATAAACAGGAACCTGAAAGGCTATCACATATAAGAAAAGGGGTATAAGACAAAGGAAGAATCACTCTTTTAAGTTCTACTTTCAGATAGGAAAGCAGAGCCACAGTTTGTCAAATGAAAACTTACGTTATTCTACTTGCAATTAATTTCTGAATATACTTTTTTCTTCTGCATATTTAAATCATAAGCCAAAAGTTAATCCTTACATTTATTGTCCTTTATCATTTTAGCATTTTAAAATCCTTCCAATACAGTTTTAAAGATTGAATTGTATAAAAACATAGCATACAAAAGCTTCCAACTGTATTGAAAAGGAATAAAACAGTGTTGCACTGAATAATTATTCTAAATTCTGTCTCAGTACCTGTTTTTTCTATATAAATAAAGGTCAGCATAAGGACACCTTCTGACATCAACAAACATTATTTCCGAAGTAGTTAAAAAACATTTAACATTTCAACTAAAACGATTAACAGAAAACACTTAAAAATAGCTCTACACATCAAACACTATTTTCCCTCTATCCTATGGCTACTTTATATTCCATGAACTGACCTTAGTCATTTGATCTGCGTCTGGTCTGACCGCTGGAGCTACATTTAAGAGTAGCTTTACGTGTTCACGCACCTCCTCTGGTATATTCTGAAGAGTATTGGAGCTTAAACGGCTCAGCTGCGTAAGTAATTTAAGCACATGCACCATGAAGTCAGAAAATCCTGTATATAACTATTTCCAATATACAAAAGCACTATACTTGATAGTTTTTCTTCCCACATCTTTGATATCCCTCCCTTCTCCTGTTCTATAACCCATTTGTTTCTGAGTCCTCATTGTCTTCTCTCTGTTTCCCAACCATCTAGCTGTTTCAGGTCCCACTCCACTATTTTCAACTTCCCACTGTTGTTCAGGTTATCAGAGAACACAAATATGGAATCTTTTAAACAGGCAAATGTCATTATATGAGGTGTTGTCTACAAACATTAAAACACAGGGCACACAGCTATGGCAATGGGCACCCAAAGAGGTTACGACAAAGGCAGGCTGCATATGAATGAATGGACATTATATCAGCTGATCCAATAAACTGTTTAAACCGTGACACTGTCTTCTGTTAATATGCACAGTCCACAAAGAATGTGAAATACTGAGAGCTATGAGGATACCAATGACAATGTCAAGTGATCAAATCACTCCAAACTCAGCCCTCTTTCAATGGTCCTACATAGGTATTTCACTGCCATGTGTTTTATATTGTTCACTTCAACAGGTAAGCATTATTCCACAAGACCAGTATTCAACAGGTTTACAGAGAAATCAGATGAAAAATGCAATCTGTAGTTTATAAAGTTGGTGCATGTAACCTTCTCAAGACATATTCTTATTTTCCATTTTTTCTAAGATTCTTTTTTTCTTGGTATAATGACAGTATGCAAGGCAAGATACCACTATTAGATAGTTTACGTTGAAGCACTGATACAGTGTTCTACATATTTAAATTTATTTTAAAACAGTAACTTTTCAAATATGAAAATCAATTAATAATAGTCACAAATAGAACAAATACCTGATCCAGCTGTCTACTAAAGCTTTTATAAATATCTTGCTTGTTGACCTCAAAAATTGGTTTCCCTTTATTAAACACTGCATACATAACAGCTCCTAGAGAGTACATATCACTGGCTGTCTCACAGCTCACAGACAGAATATATTCTGGTGCCAGATACTCAGGATTTGGAAGACACAAGGATGGTAAATTTGGATCCCATTCCTTACAAGGGAACTTTGGCTACAAGAGAAGAAAAGTAAAAGAAAGTACATTTATTAGGGATTTTTAAAGAGCATTTTCAATAAGAAACTCAAGCAGCAAAAAATAATTAAGCTACTCAAATTCAATTATGAATCAAACAGAAACAGAGTAAGGCAAAACTGTTAAGAATCTCTGTCTGTAGCTTAGAGTGATTAGCTGACGCATTTAAGTCTGAATATTAGAGCTGGGAACTGTAATGTAAAAATCAAAGCACTGCTGTAAGAGAGAAACATGAACTATGATGGGAATTCATTTTAGGAGGTAGCAATCAGGCACTGAGCGGGTACAACAGATTAAATTAGGTAGTTTTGCATGTCATCCAACATGCAGGTGAGCACATGTGACATAGGCCTCAGCTTCTGTCTGAAAGCACCACTAGTCTATTTTGACTCCACTGAGCCAACTCAGACTCTTTTTCTGTGATGACCAAACGCAGCAATTAAATCCAGACCTGTGCCATATGTTCAAACTTCCTGCCAACAAAATACAGAGGTGAATATTAAATAAATGATTCTGTACTGGAACCCCAAGGTCATGAAACTGGTTTCAGACAATGACCTGAATTTGAAATTTAATGATGATAAATATAAAGATTATTACCTCCTGTTCAGATGGATTTGTTGACTGGATGCAAAAATCAAAGCCCATAATTTTCCATGCTCCACTCTTATTCAAAATTATATTTTCAGGAGTAACATTTCCATGGACCATTTTCACACTACTATGCAAAAATGACAAGCCTTCAGAAACCTGTTAATAAAAGATCATTTTATTTCACCTTAACTATTTCCCCAAACATCTCGTAAGACATTTATAAAAATTCTGTTCCTATGGTCACAATTAAATTCATAAATTAACGAAGAAACAATTTTTCACCACTATTTTAGCCTATAGTCTTCAAAACTATGCATGAAGAAAATAAAACACAGATGGGTAATTAACAGATGAGATTACTAATGTCCATTAACTATCACAGCATTAAGTGTGGTGGTGCATTCCCCTCTCCCCTCAGGCCACACTATGATCTTAGAAGAACAAAAATGCTTTACAAAGTTGATCAGGATATTCACCAAACAAAACCTGGAAGCTACTGGTTCTCCACAGAAGGTAAAGTTTCACATACAGGAGAGACAGCTGTAGTGTGGACATTCATAGGGAAAATAAATATTATTTGAATTTTGTATTTTACATGTCAGAATAAGCAAAAAAGAGTACCAACTTAGAACCTCCAGTGTTAATCCTCTCTCACACTTAGAGTGATCAGGGCACTATTATCTCTCACCTTGCAATTATTTGATTTGCTAGAGATAGACAAAACTTTGACAGTTTACAGACTTCACAAAAAAATTATTAATACTAAATGCACATGAAAATTGTAAGGACAACCTGTCATACCTGAAGCAAACCATATTTGGTCTCCACATCATAAAGTTTGTATTCTTTAATATCAGATGGTAAAGGAGAAGGTAGATTGTCCCAGTTGCCAAGAACATTAGCTAAACTTGCACAGACTGGTTCTGTACAAAATGCCAAGCAATCCCTGTATAGGAAATGCATTAAAGAATTTCTTGTAAGTAAATGTAATAAGACTTCTGATTGTGAATACAGAACCATGCAAACATCATATTATATGTTACCAGTACACTTGGTGCTACCAAAAACCATACTATATTTCAGGTTTTGGATCCTTATAATATTATACTAAAGAGAAATATATCAATATCTGAACTATTAAAAAAATACTAGATTTAAGTTATTCTCTAACATTCACATAAATCACTAATGATACACACAGTGCTTCAAAAAGGTTTTAACAAAGAAAAGATATTCATGTTCTGATTCAAGAAGATCAAGCAAGTAATTCTTACTGCTATTAAGACTTGTAAAATCAGGCTTTTACCTGTGCCTAAAATCAAGATGTCCCTCACTGAAGCAATACTTCATGTTGTCAATGATCAGGAACAAAACTAATGTAATATAAAGTAGCACCAGAATATTCTTTTAGTTTGCAAAGTAGTAAAAAAGAAGAGCTGCAAACACAAATACGCTTGCTTTATGAACTGCAGTTTGCATTTGAAGTGACTATTTTCTAAGTTGTTTTATCGATTCTTTTTGTCATGTAAAACTCCTAGTCTTGTTTATGCATTTTTGTGTCAGTTGTGTTTGAAGCAAACTTCTGCACATAAAGGAGACACATAACACTGTGCTTCAAAATTCCAAATTTCAAAATTGATCCTGAAACCAATACATGTCTCAGTTCCCCAAACTCCAACATAGAGTCATTCTTTATATCCACATTCTTCATACTGGTCTGAACACTGGTGAAGGCCCTGGACAGTCATTACAATTCACTTCCTAACTGTTTTAAAGTTTTTTTGGAGAAAGCATTACGTGGATAATAGCACACATACATGCTTTAAGAATGATTAATTCATGAGAATACTAAATACTGCATCAGTATGAATACAGAGAACAGACACCGAGTAACAGTAACAAAGACATATTTTTGAGTATAAAGCTGCAGGCAAGAACACAGGGCCTAAATTTTTGTTCTTTCCATAAAAATATCACAATGTCTCAGCATGGATCTACTACATACTTTTTTAGTATTTCAATAATTAACAAGCTTGGCCTTTGAAGTAAAATAAGGCTGCTGAAACATGCAAACCTTCTATTACTCACCCAGATTTTAGTTTTATCTACTGCTTCTCTAAAGGAAAAACAACTGAAAAGTAAAATATACTGAAGCATAGGTGTCAGACAACCTGACGGAACTTCTTTGCTTGGTTTCCTCCCTACCATTCTGTTACTGACATACCTTTCACATGTCTATTAGCAAGACCAGTGCTATAAAAGTTGTTTCTGTTGAAATCACAAGGAAGAATCAGGGCACAGAAAGACAAAGTCCTTCATTTTCAATCTGACTTCAGCTTTACCGCAGAGCTTATACATTTAGTTATGGTTGAGGGCATGGATGACAGAAAATAGTTAGGGAACTATTCAGTGGTTTTCATAACAAACTGTGATTACTGTTGTTTTGAGGGAATAAAAAGATGAGTGTTTATTTTCTGCTTTAGAAGCTAATTAAAGGGTCCAAACCAAAGTAATGGAAGGCTGGAGTAAATCCAGTTAAAGTAACTGGATATTGCAAAAGCTGATGTCTTACAGTGCAGCTTCTCTAACAGTTCCTGAATAATATCAGAATGAAATTTATAGTACTATAAAAAAAAGAAAGCACTTTAAAAATAAAAATGATGGTCAGAACCACATATGCTTTTTACATGTAACAATGTAACAAATTGAATGTTTAGTAAATTATCTGGGACTCCTCACACTACTGTTTTTAATCGGTAGCAATGATATTATGAGTTAACTTTCAGCTTGTTTTTTAATCCTTTTCTCCAATAACAAGTTAAATATAGATGAATATTGGTTACCAGTGTTGTCAATGGAATTAACTGACAAGCTGCAAGTAAACATATTCATATTAAATATTTGGTATAAATAAGGAGTTATTCATTATATAAATGCATGTAAAGACCTATACATCATTATATATAATATATAAATATAATTATATTGAATACAAATAATTTGTTGTAGAGACATTCTATTAATAGTGGGAAAACTACCTACACGCTAGGGTCAGAAGGATATGGTCTTCCTTTATCTATTTCAACTGTGCAGGTACATCAAGTATCCATTTGCCCCATAAAGGAGGAATAAAGTGTTCAACAGTTCAACACAACTATATGTTACTGGGGAGACACAAAAGAAAAAGACCAAATACAGTCTCTCCAGAAGGAGCCCATGACAGATTTCTTCAAAAATAAGTGCTCTGGAAAGACCTGAAATTGTAAAAACATCTTGTAGCATGCTTGCACAACGTTACACCCACAAATATTCCAAGCAAACCTTTCTTTTATGAATCCCCTCCAAAAACTGTTACGTCACTTTCTAGCACAGCAAGCAACTGGACAGGTTTTTGTGCTTCTGGTGTTTCTACCAGTAGCTGAGCGTGCTGAGTATAGAAAGAACAATTATCTTATGAGTAAATACAGTAAACTTGAATCTCATCAGATGGTGTGTGTTCAATGCTCCAGATATTTTACATCCAATACCAAGACAATGATTAAAAATGTCTCTTCTCAACTTTACCAGAGCTTACCTAGATTCTTCCAATGGATGTTGAACAGTAAGCAGTCGAGGGTGTCGAAGCCTGGTTAGCTGTTGAACACCTCGTTTTAAAGAATCAATAATCTGATCTTTTTCAAATTTTTGATACTTGTCAATTAGCTTCTTATCAAAGACAAAAACAGCCACTTCCTAGAAACAAGCAACAGAAATTAATCAGTATATAACACAGCCAAACCCCAAGCCTATACACAATTACATACACACACAAATTTTTTTATCCAACAGTACAATACCACAACAAACAAACAAACAAACAAACTCTTTGTCCTTACTTTGTCCCAGTCATGGGACAGGCTACTGTATACAACCTCTAAAGTACGTATTTTAAGAGTTAAGGTATGAATGCTCCTTATGTTGCAAATAGTAATATGTAAATTATACCCACTACCTACACAGTGACAAAGCAGCAGATCCATAGGACAGAAGTCATCTTGTTTTTAAGTAGATGAAAGCATTTACATCAACTATGAACAGTTAAGATATCCTGAGTATATATGTAGTCATTTGGCATTAAATATATCAAGTGGTGCTTTATTAAACCAGATCTTGTCTCACTGTTCTGCCCTAAACCAGTACAATCTATATTAAACTAAAATTTTATGAAAAATAATTTATAGTCACAGTAATTTACTAATCTGTTCACACTATTCACATGTCAGAACATTACAAATTTTTTAATGTTTAAAGATGTGTGAAAAGAAGTCACAGAAATGTTAAACCAGAGAAAACCTCTCCAACCTCTGCAAATGGAGTGAGAGAAAATTAAGTTTATATTTATATGAAACCTTGAAATTACGGAGGTCGACGTGAAATGAAAAAGTACATTACCTCACCATCTTGGAAGTCAATAAAAAGAAGTATATCAATCGACCAGAAAAGGAATTAAAATCTTTATCATGGAACAGAGACGTTTATATGCTGCTACAAGAGTATTATGAATAAAAGTAAAGGTTAGAAACAACAACAACAACAAAGAAAATACAGTTTTCAGTCCCAAGAGGAACTCTATGCTCTTCTACTACACGTTCTATAGCCATTACTCTAATTAAAACCTCACAGGGGAAGATACATTATTAATTAAAAAAATGAAAAACTTCTAGAAATAGTCTATACAAAATAATAAATTCAGCCCAGTATGCAAAAAATTGCTTTTTAGCTGGTTTTATTAAGCCATTAGCAGGTGAACACCTATAACTAACTGAAGTACACTTCTCCTGCTTCTATCCATAGTGGCTCCCTGTTCCAGCTCTAAGAGTGATGGATGAAATACTAACACTGACACAAGGCAGAAAGGAACCAATGATAGGGATGGAAGACATACCTTGAGCAGCACATGACCAATAACAAAATTTCAAACCAAGATAGCATTTCTGAAAGCACTTTTTGATGACAAGTGAGAAGAATCAGAAACTGAGTATTTAAATTGGACAGCATAAGACATCAGCTATGGTTTGAATATTTTATGATGGCTCTAAGTTCTATTGGTGCTTGGTGCAATCCTGCATGGTTTGTTTGAACTCATCACTCCCTGCAACTGGGAGGACAGAAGAGAACACAATTTGTTCTCCAGATCCCCTGACCAATTGACTCAAGGCCCTTTGGTTCCTCTTGACTATTCATAGCCTTCTTGTTGGGACTTTGCTGGTACCCACCTACGAGTTGGGTCTGGTTGGCATATTGGGCCCTCAATTCCTCTCAAAAGGGAGTCACCAGTGACTACTTTACTTCTTTTTTTCTTAATTGAGAAGGTTGTGATGGGGGGAGTAGGCTGCCTTGCCCTAGGCAACTCCTCCATACCAGAAGAAGCTTCCTCTACATTCTTATTTCCCTGGTCCTCAGATTCCAAGGCCTCATACCTATTGTATAAGGGCACCTGGGAAGCTAGGTAGGCTGGGAGGGAATCCACCTGCCACGTTAAGCAGAAACTTGTTTCTACTCCCCTTAGTCTTTAGGGTCCCCTCCTTCTGCCTCATGGTAAGAGAGTAGGGGATTCACTCCTTCTTGTGGAGGGCAGGTCCATTTGTCTAAGGTATGGCAGGGTGTGGCTCCACTAGACAATCTCTTCCTCAGAGTCCTTAATACTTCTTAGTCTTTCTGCTTGATCTCAGCTCTGCCCCTAGGCTGAGCAGATTGTTGATTTGATCGCACCTCACACAGCTGTTCCCTTTGCTGCCTTCCAAGAGCGCCACAAAGTTTCCTGCTTTTCTTCTTATTTTCTCTCCCCAGCCTGCTGGGGATAGGGAAGTGAGTGAGTAGCTGTGTGGGTGCTCGGCTGCTGGCTAGGGTCAACCTGCCATATCCTGCCAGACTATTTGCAATCCTGAAATCTTAATGAAACACGCACCAGTTTGAAACACAGGTTGGCAGTTTAAAATACGTGTCCTTATTTACCCACATAAACACTTTTCAAGTTAAGAGAATGCTGCTCCTATCTTAGCCAATGCAACTACTACAAAAAGAGAAAGAAAGGGGGAGAGAGAGAGAAACAATTTTTTCCAACCAGAAAAAGGCAACCAGGCAACCAAGGCATGCGCTCCTTTCTCTCCTGACCCCCTGAGGAAGGCAAGCATTCAAAAAGACAATGAGTTTGTGTGTCAAAGAGATACAAACAAACCTAGAAAGTACTTCTGAAATAAAGACTCCAAAAGCTGCAGAAATGCAATGATATTGGAACAATATCTCTTCCTATTGATCCCATTGGATATTGAGGAAGCATCCTAATAAAACCTGTAAAATATTCAAGCACTATAGTGATAAATACTACAGAAACTCAAATCCTGAGATTTTAAATAGCATGGAGTAATAATGACAGCAACTAAGCACAGAACAAAGAAGCAGAGAAAAAAACTCCACAAAATATTTAATAAATACAGTTCACCATCTATCCTGTGAACTGAATTGATGTAATGCTCTCATGGAAAAAATTCAAACATGATCATGTTAAAAAATAAATTGTAAACATAAAAACAAAGGAAATTTAAAGGTAGCAGTCCAAGTGCTTGATTTTAGAAACTTTCTGTTTGCTTTCCCTTTCATTTTTGTCCTCTATTTTACTCATATACACTCACACATTTTTTAAATGAAAAACTAAACGTAACTCAACATGCAAACACATGATATTTTACCAAAGCCTCCCACTGAGATAAGCAAAACAGTCTCTCAACTAAAATACTGGAAAGCATTCCAGTATTACTCTGGTCTTCTGCCAGGAAAAGATTTTTCTCTCTCTTTTGAGGGCTTTATTTTCTATAAGCTTGACAATGTTTTTTTATAAGCCTACTTTCCCCCTAGTTTCTTTCAGTCATAAGATATGCAATACAACTAATTCAGTTTTAAAATTTATCAGCCTTTAAGTTTTGAATAACAGGAAGCTTTAAGTTCAAAGTTACTATATGCACAGGCAAAACAACAGAAAGTTGACTTACCTACCTACCATAATACATTAGTCCTACCACAATAAAAGTTAAACACAACTACAGTAGTCTTGAAATGCAAATCATTATCTACTGAATTCTGCTAGTTTTACAACTGAGCTGCCAACAAGACTTTACCCCACCTATTCATGATCGCACTTTTTAAGCGGAAGAAAGGACAATGCCAGAAAAAATATTAAGTGCATAAAGACTAAGTTAATTAATCCAAGATGAGCTGAAATACATATTGTAAAATTATACACCTATATATAACCAGAGTCATAAATCTTTCAAACAAGCTACAGCAAACCAGCTACAAAATAGCACCAGGTAACATATGCACACAGGTAAGTAATTTCCTCACATTCTGTTAGGTTCAGTCATCCAAAAAAAGTAAGTAAGAAAAGACAAGGTACATATTAAAAAAACTCCAAAACATCCAGAAATCCTGGAGAAACAGCTAGGCAGGAACCAGGCAGAACTCAGAAAAAAAAGAATTCAATCATAGATATTGACTGTGACCAGAGATGGAATATTTGTAACTGTCTGCTGACTTAAAATAGGAACCAAATTCATCCTGAAAACAAAGATTTCTGATGAGATCTGTTGTACTGCTAAAACCTTCAAATTTAGCTGTTTTATCTGACTACAATGACTTAAACTGTTACTTGTGTAATAAAGTGACTTGTGTTGTAGAGTGACAACATGGGCAATTAAGCCCTTGTATCCTGCTTCTCTGAACACAATACACATTTCCTGCAAAAAAAGCTAAATGCTTCTAGCTTCAAATTAGACATATACACTTGCCATACAGCAAATATGTGCACCACTTCACAAAAGTGACTGCTACCACTTGGAAAATGACAGCCAGCCACTTCCATACTGCACAGCAAACATACAAAAGGGACACGTGAAAGAAATAAAAAAAAAAATGTTAAAGAAGAGACATACTGCACTACAACACACCATAAACTGTTTGTATTGCTGCACAGCTTTGTTAGGCAACAGCAAACAGAATGCTGTCATGATGTTACCCAACTGGTAATATTAATAATGAATGGTAACTTCATGTCAAATCAGCAGCCACCTAAAATTCCTGCCGTACAACTGCTGTGGTATTTTTAATGACTAATGATGGCACACAAATGTACAGATGTTAGTCAGGGTTTACAGAGATACTGCAGGATCACATGTAGGATCACTGAACTAAAGCTCTGTAAAATAATCGGTCAGAACACCCATTCAAAGCTTGAAAAACATGATCGACAGGTACCCAATTACATATATTCTGTACATACACAAGGGAAGAAACTTGCTACAACTATCCAGAACTTAAAGCTACACCTGCTACAGGTCAAACGCCTACTGGACACACAGATTGTATAAAACCTATCAAAACTACCATACTTTCATTTTTACCCCTTCTTTGTATAGGTGAGTAAGACCAAACAAAAAGCCCTAAACAATTGGTATGTTGAGTAAACTCCATAAATACTAGATGCATAGAGCTCTGCAACAGCTAAACAGATGCTTCAAGATATGGCAAAAGTATCTGGTTAAACATTATTCAGACACTGTCACAATCAGATCACACATTCCTCATAGACTATTCATGCTTCATATCGTAACTTTCCTCTATTTGCCACAGTTTATTCTCCTATCATCTAAGGGATTGCATATACATTTTTTGAAAGTTATTCCTTTGTGTCCTTTTCTTTTTGGTACATCCACAGCAAGCTGATTCATTGTCTAAGTGACTTCACATCGTTTTAGCATCAAGTTTAACTGAAGGCCACAATTTATTAACGCTTCTATTTACATGTTGAAAATTCTATTTCCTCTCCGAGTTTGAAAAAAGATTTTTCACATTTCTCCACTACAACAAAATAATTTCATATAGTAACAATCTTAAACTCTGTTTGTGGCAAACCTTCTTCCAAAGTCACAATCCCGTACGCATTTACATGTGACTTGAGTGAGTCAGAAGTTTGTGTATTAGTGCTCTAAACCCTAACAGTTTAAGGAAACTGAAAGGAAACAATACTGATCTGAAATCAGCACAGAGAAGGCACAACTAACTTCCTCCACCACCTCCTCCTCTATCCCATGCCTTCCTGTTACAGTATCTCATGACTTAACATTTCCAAAGTTTCAATTTCTGTATGGCGACTGAGCAAAAAACACAGTGTCTTTCGCTGACAACAAATAATGACATATTTCACAATTATTTTAAACTTAAAAAACCAGTATTGCTGCCAAAAAAATGTTGCACGGTACAACCAACTGGGGAACTCATCCATTTTAAAAAAAAACCTCTTCCTTCTTGTCAGATCACTTTTAACTCAGATGAATTCTTGATCTTGGTCTCAAATTGTATGCTATGAATGCAGAACCACTTCTTTCTCCACCAGTGAAGGCTTAAAGCAAATATCACCTCTATGGTTGAGAACAGTGTATTTAAACAGTGTCGAGGGTTTCGTTCCATTTTGCTACTCTTAACATTAGTCTGTCGAGTTGGATTTTGTTTTTAACTGCTACTTACCAACTGCTATCTATCAACCTGTTATCTAATGCTTATAAATGTATGTCATTACTTGATAACTCACCTGTTTCGTTGATTTTTTAGTTCCATTAAATATCTTCCATGCCAGACCATTACCTCCACTGGCAATATGACGGCCCACATCAAACTCCCTGGTAACAGGGTTTCCCATGACTGCACTGGTGACATCAGCCGTTACCTTTGTAACGGTGCTCTTCAATTTATTCAGCATGGACTCCATGGTTTCAACTGTGCACCAATGTGTATTATCCTACAGAGACAAAAAAACTAGAGGTTTCACGGTCCTCTCAATTTCTGTTAACAAAAGGTACATATTGAACACTACAACTTCTAAGGATCCCACAGGATACAGGAGCAAGCCACAAAAAGGACAGTGAAATGTAAATTCCAGGGCTTTGCAGTTATACGGATTCACACTGCATACGCATATCTGTGCCTGCAAGCCTATGTATGGGATGATATGTCATTGCTTCTACTCCTCAGAAACTTCTGAATCTCTTGATTGTTCTTCGTTAGATCTAACAAAGAAATTCAACCATTTCTTGAAAATAAGTAACTGAATAAAGCAGAGAATCTATAAACTGTCCCCCTGATAGGAAAGGTCCATACCTTGTGTATCGGTACCAATCAAAAAAGAGAAACAAATCTGAAGGAAACCAGACTCCTTTATTTCCAGTGCTCATGGAACTACACATGTTCTGAAGGGAAGGATTATTAAGATCCCAGACCAGCAAAATAATAGATGTGTATTGTACAGAGATGACAAGTAAAAAAAAAAAAAATATGTTTTTTCCTACACTATGCTTTTCAAAATACAGTCTCAAAATTAAGTATTTTACCCATTAGATTTCTGGCATTACTATTTGTATGATCTAACTATTAATGAATTTAACTCTTAATGCAGGTGAAGGAAACAAGAAACCATCTTTTTATACTTTATCAAAATTGTACAAGAAGTTTTTTTTACATCACCTTTCAAATTTAAGAGTTAAAACACACTGACAGCTCCCAATTTAGTACATCTCCCCCTGCAGTGTAAACTTCCAGAGTTTCCTAAATTGTCATAAAAAACCCCAAAACTGACTAGCTTCTTCTGACAGATAGAAGGTCTGAAGCCTATGTCACATTTATACTATTTTCTCTCTGATAATGTGTACACAAGAAGGAACAAAGGCAGCAAACAAACCACGAAAAAATGAGACATCTTCCTTATCAGTGTGAGCAAAGATGAAGTGAGAATGCAGGAAGAAATTATTTCCAGGAGTCAGTATCATGCAGTATATTCAAAATCAACATTCAAGGATATTTCTTCAGTCTCTCTTTCAAATAAGGTGCAAAGAGTACTATTTCTTAAACCTAAAGGTAAAATAAACCTAAAATAGCACATCAGCAAATACACTGAAATCTGCAGAAATACTTTTTTCAATTATGGCCTTATCTGTCATATACTCAACTCACTGGCACACAGTTTGTGTAAAACTGCTTCTTTGAAAAATAGAGAATGTTATTCCTATTCAAATGGAAGCCACAAGATTCTGTTGTGATAAACATGATGTTTACCAAATCATGGTAACAATAACAAAAGAAGCAAAAGGCACTAACAAATAATCCTGTGAACACAGACTGACCAGCCCAAATATCCTTTTGATCAGATACAACGTACTTGCTTGTATGAACTAAAACTCTTCCCATGGTACTACCTACATTTAAAAGGCAATATTTGGGTCTACATAGGTTATCTGGTGTCTATCAATATATGCATTTACACCACAGCTTTTTCCCCATTCAAGACATAGATGGTGTTTGTTTCCTCTTCACAGCTCCTTAGTCTCAAAAAACCTGTAGCAACTAACTTTTGACACCTGTATACCTCAGTCAAACTTGGTTGAAATCAACCACACTAACATTATTTGGACATGCACACCTTGGCTCCCTGGTACTATTGATTTGATTCCATTAGAAATCTGGACAAATAATCCGATTAGTTTTAAATCGCAAAGATAGGCTTTTTTTTTACAAAAAAAAGGTGATAAACATACTACGCAAAACTTGTTAAAAAGTTACATGTGTTATGGAGTAATGCACTCCAGTGCAATTGTGTGCAACAGCTTAAGCCGAGCCCTAAGCAAACTTCAGCACAGTGCTGGAAGCAGCACAGCTCTGCTGCTCTGTCTTAACTGTTGCTGCAGTGATATTCCACCCTCTGTGTTCCTCTGTAGGGAAATGTAGAAATACACTAATGCTGTGGCTCCATAGATACTTCTTCAATGTCCACGTCAGCTGAAGTGACCCAACTTTAAAGAAATCAGCCTAGGAGTTTTAAGAAAACATATTATAAAAAAAGACAGGAATCCAGCTGCAGAGACCTCAATCTTGCAAATACTCAAATTTAAATCAGAAATAGTAGTTATGACTTCAAGAGGCCAATTCAGGAGCAGAAACATACATGACTGCAAACACATTAAGGGTGGAGTTTTCCTTAATTGCAAGGACTGTGACTTTTAGATACAAGAAACTGTGTCTGAAATCAACAAAATAATCTCCAGAATTACTACATACTTCTTCGGTATCTGATGGCCGGTTGAGAACATACCTGGAAACAAATTACGGAAACACAGAATTTCCCTATTAAGTAGTTTCATTATAGTATGTGACATTTTATTATTACAAGAAATTAATTTTACTTTAGGAATTGTGCTATGGAAAAGCACATGCAACTCCTAACTGTGCAACCCTGGACCAAACAGCTATTAGACACGGGCTAATGTCCCTGTATAAAGGAACTTTTCATCAGTCTAATAAATAGTTAAAAAAAGGATCATGGAGTATTCTAAAAACGAGCCATAGGCATTTCCAGCTCTCAGAGATTTTATTCTGCAGCTACTCTATGAGAAAACTCTGTGCTAAAGGACTATAATATCCATACTAAAGAGGTTAAGATAATCACAAATCTAATTTATTTGGGTTTAGATCTTGTGCTTTTTCCATTTTTTCATTCACTCCAGCCATCAAACCTTCTTGAGTACCAATGAAACACCTTCTTGTGCTAAGATTCTCAAAACTATAAAAGGCTTTGCAAAATTGACTGTGGAGACAGTATGATGAAAATGACTGTGCATGCATGTTCCAATTTCTTTGTGTAATTCTGAAAGGGAGCTTCTCAACACAGGTGGTGGAAAAATGGTGTAGTATTCATTAAATCACAAGTGCCCTCTGCTGTGGGTGACAGACTAACTGCAGTGAGTAGCCTGGCAAAGCCACTAGGTGAGAATGTTAACAGCATTCCAGTGTCTGAAGCCTTAGAATCTGAAATTCAAGCCTGGTAGGCCCTGTCCAACCTGTTCCTCTCCAACTTGACAGTATGCAAACTATTGTTTAATGTAGCTACTGAGCAAAGAGTACCATGAAACTTACTTCCCAAAATAGTGTGGTTTAAAGCTTACATCCATAAAACTGTAAATTTGTAGAAACCCTCATGTCAACATTTGACTGTAAGTACATTTTGCTTCATAAAAACGATTGCTATTAGCAACTTCAGTAAAACCTCTATATTTTGCCAACAGGAACAATACACTTAGAAAATCCATGCCCCCCCAGTATCTATTTTGTGTAGTATCTATAATACGACAAATCACGACAATTTAATCAGATCAGAAATATGCAACTTTAGTTCTCTACTGCAGGAAAACTTGTTTGTTCGATTCTTTTAAGACTAGTCTGCTATTTCTAGACAAATTAATAACCAAGTGGCAATAAAGTCAGTCACCCACAATGAAATTTTCATTTAAAATTAAAAGGTAACAAACGAGACAAGTACAAAATCTGAAGAGTAACAGTGTTTGGACAAGCGACACAGGACCTGCAACAAATTATTAAGAACTCTGACTTCTTCCTCTTTGAATTTTGTGGGTAATATTAATGCTACTGATACTAAGTCTAGGAAACCTGGGACTAATCCTATAAAAATCTGTATGATCACTGTGTCCTTTTCATTAATGTCCCTCACAATCAATAATGAGTCTTATGCTGACGTACATCAGCAATGATACATCAGCATGATGAGAACAAGTACTTAGCAAGGTAGTAAGCAACAACCAACACTAAGAAATGAGGCAAAATATCCAAAACATAGAGATAAAGGTTGTTGAAATCCAAAGCAAAGATTCCCTACCATTCTTTAATTCTCGCTCATGTAAAACAACTGCAAGATGTAAACCCATTAATTTATCCTTGAACTAATTCACAGTTTCATCTGATATATGGATATGCGTGCATACCATACAGCACTGCAATGTACGCTCTACCACTGTTTTGACTATAATAAGCTGGGATTCCTCTTTGTTAACCAAGGCAACAGCAGGTGCATGGGTACTTCTTGCCACCCAACCCCATCCTATCCATCTGCCCCAAATCAGGATGAATTCACACAAAAAATGAGTGCTGAAAAAACGGAGTCACACCAAACAAAAGGAGAAAACTCTAACGTTTTTCAGGCACAACCAATTTTTTGTATGTGCTACAAAAACAACGGGAAGATCAAAGGTAACGAAGCATTGTACAGGGAGCAACTGCCCTCACTGCAAATCACCTTCGTGACTTTTATTCCCCATTTCGGTACTGAACTGCAGCTGAATCCCTAACGAAAACTCACGGAACGAGATCCACGAACGGCGATCTGCCACCTGCCGACAGGCGAAAAAACTCAGCCTACACGCTACACAAACCCCAGGACAGCCTCATACGGGCCAGTCCTCCGGGCAAAGTATTTACAGTATTTACAGCGAGCCTGGGCTCGCAGCGCTCCGCTAGCGGTGCGGGGACTCCGCTCGTCCCCGCGGGGCCGGCGTCTGCCCGCGGGGCAGGCGGGCGGCGGCCGCGTCCACAGGCGGCAGGTGACCCGCGACCCGCCGGCTGGGGCAGCTCAGCGCTCCCCGCCAGGCCCAGCCCGCGCTCCGATCGCGCCTCCAGATTGGCCCTTCCCCTGAACCCTTCGGTGCCCGGCACTCGGGACCCGAACCTGTCGCCCCCCGCCCCAGGAGCCGGTCGGCCCTGCCCGCCCCGCGCAGCGCCACCAGGCCACGGGCAGCCGCTCCTGCCCCGGGCCGCGGCCTCTCACCTGAGCCCGCGGGAAAGCTGCCGGCACAGCGCCCGGCTGCCCGTCGCCCTGGGGGCCCGGCGGGCCGCCTGTCACGCCGGTTCCGTCTGTCGCTCCGGCCCCTTCCCGCTGCAGCTACTCCATAGCGACGGCGGCGGCCGGAGCGGCAGGGCAGGGGCGGCCGGAGCGCGGCTCACTTCCGACCCGCAGGGGCGGCGCTGGGCGCGGCCGGGGGCGGCGGGCGGGAAGTGATGCGCTCCGCCGGCTTCCGCCAGCGGCCCGGCCGCGGCCATGGCGGGGTATTTGACTCCGCGCTTCAGGAGGATACGGAGTCGGAGCGAGTTGGAGCCGCGGCGGGGGAGCGGGCGGCAGCGAGGTGGGGGAATAGCCTTGTCCCCGCCTCTCCTCAGCTTTTCCCCCCTGCAGTGTCTGGGGGGCTGGCGGCGGCTCCACGCCTCGCCGGGAGCGGAGCGGGCTCCGAGGGGCTGGCGTCTGCCCGGAGTCCGTACGGGCGGCCCCGGCTGCTGGTGCCGCGGGAGGGACCCATGGCCGGTCAGCGGGCGGGACGAGGACAGCGGGGAGCCGGCAGCTGAACATGGGACAGAGGAGCTTCCTCCGGCCGAACGCCCCAGAGGCGGGGCTGCGGGGAGCGCCGCTCGTGCGGTTGGGCGTGGAGCTGTGGCCGGGTGTTCCGACTGGGAGGCAGTAGGGATTAATGCACTGCAAGCGCTGGTTTGTCGTCTGCTGAGCTCGTAGTGATGCGTGAGATTTAACTGGGGGCTGGGGAGCGCCTCGTCCAGGTGAAGCTGGGAGCGCTGCGATGCTCAGCCGGGAGCTGTCTGTCACCTGTTCAGGGGATTCTCTGCAATTATGTGAAGGGAGAGTGCAAAGAGGATAGAGCCAGACTCCTTTCAGTGGTGCCCAGAGAGATTGTGATGTCTTACGTGGCTTTCTCCACTTCTGGAAATATTCAAAACTGTCTGGACATGGTCCGGAGCAACCAGCTCTGGGTGTCCCTGCTTGAGCAGAGAGGTTCAACCCGATGAACCCCAGAGGCCCCTGAAAGTCTCAGCCATTCTGTGATTCTCTAGTGATTTAATGTATATGTACACAGCCCATACATACAGTATGTGTGGTCATAACAATGAAAAAAAGCTTCCAATTTTGTTTTTAGTGTCACTTTGTTCTCTTGGTTCTAATGGGTGTGAGTTAGCGTACAAGACAGACTGATCCATGAAGCATTGTCTTTCTCTGTCTTTGTAAAATTCAGCTGATTTCTGAATATTTCTTAAAAAATATACATAACTAAATTCACAGCATAAAAATATGTATTCTAAATGTTAAAGTGAAGGTTTATAAATCTGTAAAACTTTCATATAAATCTTTTGCAGATTGCAGTGGTCCTTTTCAAGCAACTCAGCTGTGGAATGGTATTATACGTGCCCTTCACAGTCATCTGGAAATCAAAAGACGTAGACAACATCTGAAAACATATAAAAACTGTTTCACTGGCTCAAATGCTGTCGATGTGGTACTGAGCCATCTTATGCAAAGCATGTACCTGAGCTATAATGATATTTCTCGTCTGAAGGGAGTCCGTGTATGCCAAGCATTGATGGATCACAAGGTGTTTGAGCCAGTTGGAGCAAAGCTTTACTTATTCAAGAACGGGAAAGAAACAGAGTTTGAAGACTCAGACACTAGTCTCTATAGATTTGTAAATGGCAATCTTGATCCTCCTCTTCAAGGAAAGAATGAGAACAATGAAAACTTGTCTCCTGAGCAAATCTGCAAACAGAAAACAAAAAGATATTCCAAGTGAGTTACTCCAAACTATTCTAATTTTTCTTTTTTTTTTTTTTTTTTTTTTTTTAATAAGTTAAGGTGGGTTACCTGTAGATGAAGCTATGTCTGTCTAACTCGTGTGTTGTAGACTTTTCAAAGCTACATGCCAGTTTTGAGAAACATCATGCTTAAATTGCGGAAGCTACTGGGAATTTCTTGGTAAAAGCTGGTTAAAGTGCTTTGATCTGCCCTTTGTTATTTAGAATAGAGTCTGGCATAGTAGCGGAAGACTACGTATAATTTGGTTTTGCAATCCATTGTGCTGAAATGTGAGAATTAGCATATATGAGGTAGGTACTGAATGCTGGTTAAAGAAATAGAACTAATAGACAGTATTTGGAATCAATATCTTTGCCCTTTCTACAAAGCAGATGTGGATGATTGGAATTCTAGCAGCAGGACAGACCCCAGATAGAATAGAGTCCTCAAGTTCTGATTTAAGAGCAAATTAGGAAGTAACAGAAAGACACGTGTCCTAATCATGTCTGTTACACAACATTTTTCTTCCTCCTGAGCAGAGCAACGTGCGACGCACTTTCAAACCCCTCAGCATTAGAAGCAGCTGATAAAAAGAGAGTAGAGGAGCTTCTCCGATCAATCTATGTTCATGTATCTTTACCTCCAAAGATCGTAGCTAATGAACCAATTCATCTGCTTTCAAAAAGAGGTGAGGATTGAATTTTTTCATTTTAAAACTTGATTGTTCTTCACTGCATCTTGAAGTGAGTATCCCGTTTCTGTTAAACAATCCCCCTCAAAGTCCTAAATTTAACGTATCGCTAATGACAGAATATCTAAATGAGTGCTAAATGGGTAAATGCTTGTGGTAAGTAAATTGAAGGAAACACAACAGGATTATGTTTTTGCAGAGTGGTGCTGTTTATGCAAATACTATTTCAGAAGAAAGTAGGGTTTCAGATTAACATCTTTTTTTTTATTATATGATTCCTTTTCTATTCACTTCTACTAATTAGAATAGATTATTATGAATTCTAATATGATGGGAGAGAGATTTTTTTAGCATTCCTGTTATGATCCCTTCTTCCCCAATAGAGAAACTTCAGACTGTGCTGTTGGTATGCTTGCTTTGAAGACTTAAAACATTCTTGAGAGAGTAAAAACAAAGGTTAGTGGCTTACATAAGATCTTATTTCTGAGGATTTTTTGTTTGTTTATGGTTTCAGTAATAGAAGATGTTTGGAAACAGCAAACTCTGTTACGATTGCTGCAGTTAATTGATATTCCTCTTCTAGAAGATATCTTGGTGTCTTCAGTGAAGACAAAACCAGACTGTTTTGGCAAAGAAGAAGACCTGGTTATCCCAAATACTTTCCTGGACAGAGAGGTTACATGTAGCTTAAACTTGCCTGAGTAAGTTTATACACATGGTGGGGTGGTATTTGGTTTTAAATACTAGCTGAATTCCTGGGGTCAGTGACAGTCTAACATAAATACAGCTTGTTTTGATTTGAGTGTACCTCAGGTATATTGCCTGTAGCATAGGAAAACAATGCAAGTTGCTTATTTTGAGCAGGTCCTTGAACTGCTGTAATGAAATAAGTGACCTCAACTGCGTAATAAACAAGTTCAGTGTTGTGGCTCAAATACATGACTGTACCTGCATGGTTATTTCTATCTAGTTTTATTTAAAGGAATAAATAAGAATAGGCAGAGCATTTTAAAGTAAGCACTAAAACTGACTTTTCCTTCTACAGGCTTGACAGATGGCTCTATGCTGCAATTGAATGCTTGGAGTATTTTCCTGACCAATTCATTGTGATGGTTAGTCAGCAGTTACCTCAGAGCACTGAGGAACCCAGCAATCTGAATACATACAAGAAGATTCTTTTTGACATTATAACAAAGTATTACAGTCAAAAGAAGGAGTCTCTTCTTGCTGCTCAGGATCTCCCTGTTCATTCAGGAATTATAGAACTTATAGGTAAGAGCAACCTGGAACATAAAATACAGCTATCTAGAGGATGTAACTTGCTAAGCGTCAATTGACTGAATCGTGACACCATTTGCAATGCTATTGCAGATGCACTTTATAGGTTGGAAGGAAATGTTCAAGATCACTATTAAGAACCTCTGCTCAAGACAAGGACAAAGTTCAAAGTTAGATCAAGCTGCTTAGGGCCTGGTCCAGCTGAATTTTGAAAATCTGCAAGGATAGAGATACACCGACCTCTGTGGGTAACTGTTTCAATTAGTAACTACTCATTGCAAAAATTTCTTACCCCAAGTCAGAATTTCCCTTATTATTACTTTTTTGTAGCAATGATTTTAGTTTTATGTTTGCATCTTAACCAGAAAAAGGTTTTGTAAATTCTGGATTTAGGACGCTTTTTAGTAATAGAAGTTATTTCAAGTTATTAAAGAGACTGTTGAGATTGTGATTCAGGCTGTGATCTCCCGTTATAGGCTTACAAGTAAACCAGAACAGTTTAAGTTAAATACAAGTCTAAGATAAATCCTACCCTACATAGGCTTTGTTACTTCTTCAGTTCTGTAGGGTTGTTGTGGCTTAACCCCAGCTGCCAATTAAGTACCACAGAGCCACTCACTCACTGCCTGCTGCTACCCCTCTCCTGGTGAAGGTAAAGAGTAAAACTTGTGGGTTGAGAAAAGAACACTTTAATAATTGGAACAAAATGAAATATAATAATACTAATTATAGTAATAGCAGTAATAATAATTGTAATGAAAAGGAGATAGAGTGGAATAAAACCCAAGAGAAACAAGTGATGCACAGTACAATTGCTCACCACTTACTGACTGATGCCCAGCCCATCCTTGAGCAGTAGTGTTTCTTGGCCAATTCCCCCCTCTTTATATACTTGGCATGATGTTCCATGGTATGCAATATCCCTTTGGCCAGTTTGGATCAGCTGTCCTCTCAACCCCAGCTCCCTCAGCTGCTCCTCACTTGCTTACACTTTTGGTGTTCTTTTTAAACAAAGGTGGTTTCAAATGGCTTGTGGCACACTCCTGAAAGTCCTGGATTATTTCTTGTAAAATACAAACTCTGTCTTAGAAATAGGACAGAGGCCAGAAAATTGTATCAAGGTTCTATTCATGTATCTGTCTTTGTCTTACTCTTGCTTTAAGAAAGTTAAACTTTCTCATAGCTTCTCACTTTTAAAGTGAAGATAATTCTAGTTATCATTTAAAGTGTTTGGAGACTATTTTCACTGACGTTTCTTTTAGACTCTCATAGCCTAATGGCTTAAAGGAGGAGGGGGGAACACAGAGACACGACACCTCACCAACAGTAACAAAAGACCCCCTAACAAACAAAAAAAGAAAAACCTCAACAACAGCAAAAAGAAACCAAACCAACCAACTAAAGCCCCCAATAAAACAAAAAGAAAACAACAAACTAAAAAAGAACTGTCAAAGCAATGAGAGAGTTGGAATTGTTCAGCTCATTAATTACTTAGAGATGAATCCTAGAAATAATATAAAGATGTGTAAACATCAACAGTGCAAACATCACTTCAGTGTTTGCACATTGTAGACAGACCATAGTAATGTCCTGTATACATTGTTCAAGCACAACTGTTCCCTGACTAGCTATGGGACAAAGGCTTTTGTTGATTAAATGCTGTATAGAGTCTTGTTGTAAGGTTTTAGAAGTCACTGATACCTCTTTTCTTTGGAAGGAAAGCCACTCAAAAGTGGGATTATTATTGGGATTTAAATATGTGCTTGTGACTCTGAAAATGAACAGTTGCATTGAACACACTCCTTTACTCCATTGCAGAGAAAGGAAAAACAGATCAAGCCCTAGAGGCATTACAACTTTATTTAAAATTATTAGCACCAAATATCAGAGAAGAACTACACAGGCTCTTGACATTCCTAGCCATTGCATCGGAATCTGAGGGCTACAGGTTACAAAAACAAGTAAGTATCTGTTAAGTTTAATGTAGAAAATAGCACTTTTCTATAGTAAAACTAATGTTTTTGTCCAAAGTTAGAAGTATTCTGTTTACTGCCTTTCAATGTGATCTGTTTTAAAACAAATATCAAGATGTTCTTCCCACTGATAGCATCTTGTTATACTTAGTCTTTACTAGCACATTGCATGTCAATCCAGTGCCAAATCTGGGTACCTTTTTTTCTAGTTTGAGAACAGATTGGTGATCATCAAGACTTGCACAAAGTTCATCTTGCAAAATAGAACACTGTCAAAACCACAGGCAGAACTGCTGACTCAGTTTCTGATGGACAATCACTCTGAGCTCTTCAAGGTATCATTTTCCTTATATCATTGCCATTTAAATGTTAAATGCCATGAACT